GATTTTCAATAGTTAAAGGAGCAAATTTTCCATTCATCTGGACCCACAGCTAAAACCTGCTGCTTCTTTAGGGCCCTGCACAATTTGTTTCAATACACTGATGTTCAAATGTGAACTCTTCAGTAAGTGCTCTCAGGCTCATGCACACTGTCACTTGGAGTCAGATAACTGGTTTAATCTGGATCCATTTAAGGGCATTTTCAAAATGCCTTTAGGCCACTGTCCACTTCCTCCCTCTTTGCTTCCTTTGCACACTCACCCACTGGAACCCTACTGCCAGAGGGACAAAGACTGTGTCCTCCTTTCAAAATATGCAATATATAGAATGATAGAGCTCCTCCTGACACAGAGTCGTCCCTCGGTGCTGGGGGGGGGGGTAGTTCTAAGACGCCGTGAGAATGCTCAAGCCCCTCATATAAAATGGTGTACTTTCATGTAACCTATACTCGTCTCTCAGATGGTTTGTTTAAACTGTATCTAGACAACCTTTAATACTTAACACAATGTAAACGTCATGTAGTTTAGGGACTGACAAGGACAAACAAGCCTATATGTGAGGTACACATGCAACTTTAAAATTTTTTTTTTTTCTTTTTGAGATAGGGCAGGCTATGCAGTTCAGCCTGGCCTTCAGCTCACTGGTTAGCCAGGCTGGTCTTGAACTTGCAATGATCCTTCTGCCTCAGCCTCCTGAGTGCTGGGATTATAGGCATGTGCCACCACTCCCTGCTAAAACTATTTTTGATCTACAGTTGGTTGAATCTGTGGATGCAAAGCTGGTGTTTACTGGGGGCCAATTGTACTTTCTTCACTTGGCTTCCAAGATATCACATGCCTCCAGCCATCCTCCTCCCTCATAATATGCTCCTGCGGGGTCGCCCTTTGTCAGTCCTTTATGCCTTCCAACCCGGGGTGAGAGGACAAGGTTCCTCTCTTACTTCAGTGCCTCATCTCATTTCCTCTCACAGCTTTAAGTGCTGTCCATGTGTCTAGCCTGACCTGGTCTGATGCATTCCATACTCAGTCATCTGCTACGAATTACTCTCTCCTGCAGGCTTCATGGCACCTCAAACTAGCATGTCCAAACGGGACTCTAGAGACAACCCCCCTAGCCCCCAAGGTCAGCTGTCTCCATTTCCATCCATCATAATGTCCCTGCCTGGACCCCTATCCTTGGAGTCATCCCTGACTACTTGTTCTCAATGGCCACCTGCTTCAAAAGGTCTTTCAGTGAACCTGATGGTACTCAATTAAATTGAGAATCAGATCGTTCTTATTCCCTGAACTGTACAATGAGCCCCAAGTGAGTATTCATACTGAAATCAAAATTAAAATTTTAATAAAAGAGAGAAAAAAGAGAAATGGTCCATGTAGGAATCCTTAGGAAAAGCAGAACAAAACTTAAAATTGAAAACCCCTTTTCTTAGTGCACTGGTCATACATGCAGTGCATAAGGGCCATGCCGACACAGAGCTGAAGTTTGCAGCCTAGAGGCCTGGAATGGCCTTCTTCAGTCTACACAAGCAGGAACAGTGATCTCTGAAAATGTCTCAAGTCAGGCCACTTCTGTGCAGACAGATTTCAAGTTTGTGTATATCTCTTAGAAGCACCCATAAATGCTGGCCCCTTTACTCATGTGACATTAGCTCCTCAGGCTTCTGGTTTGTTCTCTCTGCCACTGAGACAGGTGCCCCTGTTCCAACCTCAGGTCTGGGCATAGGCTGTTTTCTCATGAAATCTCTTCCCTGGATATCCTCCTGGCTCCTCCCATTCCCCTTTCAGCTCTGCTCAAAATGAGGCCTGTTCAGGCTGCTCCTTTTGAATTGCAACATCTCTCTTACCCAGTACTTCCTTTCTCTCTCACTCTACTTCACGTGTAGCACTTTCCTTCTTTGAACAAATGGTACACATTTAATAGAGTAGTTTATTGTCTACCTTGTCTACTTTCTGGCAGGGATATATGTCTATATACTTACTTCTGTAAAGTATATAGTACACTTTCCAGTATATAGCAACATGGCTTTAAACAAGTAATGCGCAATTGCTCAATGTGTATAGGCAGACTTTTAGAGCTGGAAGAGGCCTAGAAAACTGTTCTTTGGTTGGGCAGATGAAGGTTGGTGAGGTAATTCACTGAGGACTCCCAGTGAGCTAAAGGAAAGAACTAGGACTAGAGTTAGCATGGTCCTAGGTGTCTTTACTTGGCAAGGCCAATGAATTACTCTTTCCCTTCTTTGGGCACAACTGGAGAGGACACTGATGAACCACAGAGGGCCACTGGGAAGGACAAACTAAAATATCAGGGGCATCACTATTTCTTTTTGGTAAATCCTATGGATTGAAAATTCACATTTAGCTGTGGTCTCAGTGTAATGGTGTTAAGAGGTGGAAACACCTTTAAGGGGCATTTGGGAGTAGGAGAGATTTGCCTTCATGAATGAATTAACACAGTTCTCAAGAGAATGCATTAGTTTTCATGACAACAGACTGTCAAAGGCAGGATGGCGCCTTCTCCCCTTCTTTTACTTGTGCCTCCTTCTCTTGAGCCTCCAGCAGACCCTCATCAGAAACTGAGCAGATGCTGGTGGCCTGTTGCGGAACCTCAAAACCATTCTTTTACAGTACTTAGTCTTGGGTATTTTGTTATAGAAACAGAAAGAGTATGGCAGTAGCCTTTGTGTGATTCAACCATAGATCCTACTTCCTTGATAAGCTCTAAGAAGCAAGAAATAAAGTACTGGGGTCAGACAGATTGGGTATTCTGATATATCATCAGTTTCACCCTCTTACATTCCTGTACTGTGAATGCCAAGGTAATCTGAGAAGTAGAAACATGAAGAGATGCTAGATTACATTTTTCCTCAAAGCAGCATATCAATCTTGTTTCAAAAGAATATCATAGTTCTGTCATATAATTTCTGTATTAGTATTTGTGAAAATTTGACTAATAATAGAAGGATAATCTTTCACTGCATCATTAAAATACTTTTAAAAATCTACAATGAGTCCACATCTGTCCTCGTATCTGTGAGGAAGTGCTATCTGAATCTAACTATATATATGTATATGTATATATATATATATATAATATTTTATTTATTTAAATGCCAAGGGATGATAAGTTTTCTGCTGCCAGTTTTGATAAAAAGAAAAAGGCAGTGAGGGAGCTTCTAAAGCACAAGCAGACTTGTTCATAAAGACACAGCTAACAAGTCTGAGAGGCACAGCATGGTGTTAGCAAAGAGCCTAGGAAACTCCATCCAAGGCCCAGTGGATGATTTAACTTGCCAAAGTATGTAATTAAGAGCAAAGTTATCTTTATAGTCATTCTTTCATTATTGAGATAATGCAATTGGAAGCTGTTTTAGAGATGCCAGATCTGGAAATAAAATCCTTGCAGACTGCACTGCGATATCATGAAGATTATGCTAGGAAACAAATTGATGCACACAGACAGTCTCCTGTATGTACCAGAAAATTAGATCTCAGGAGAGACATGGTGCTAAGATGTAAAATAAAGGTAGGTGGGGCGGCATAGTGAAAGGCAGACACAGCAGCGTGCCAGGGAGAGGAGCTTATGTGTGTCTGGTGCTCCCAGGCACTGCCTGGGCTGGGGCACTTAGGGTTTTTCACTAACTTCCCCCTTCCAGCTACAAAATCTTTATTTCCATAGTCCAACCTTCATCTGCCCAACTGCCCAACCCCAGTCCAGTTCCATAGTCCAGTTCACTGTTACCTGGCAGAGTATGTACATATTTTTTAAAATATCTGGCCCTAAAATAAGAAATATGAGACTGTAATGATCAGACCATTCACACAAATATTAATGGGGCAGAGTATGAGCTGAGGGCATTAGACAGTTCACACCTGCATGCACAGTATGTGTGTCTGCAATTTCACCTCCACTGCCCAGTCCACCTATACCAAGAGCAACTCTGGTTTGCTGGTTTCTCTGCCTCCTCTTGAAGGGATGGCACAATCTGTTCAATTACTGCCATAGCAGAAATGAGTCTGTTATAATAAAGCTGTGTAAGTCACCCTGCCATGTGCCAAGCTCAGGCAGGTCCCCAAAATCACCCATTCTGCATTTTGCACGCTGCTTTGTAGGTCTCATTTTTCTGACGTGCTTATTATGAGCTGCTGTTCCAAGCCTAATGGCTTATTTAGTTAACTGATCTCATCATTGGTGTTCAAGTATCTGAGACCATTATAAACAAGAACCTTGGGAACAAAAGAAGAGATGTGTGCTTACTTCATAATTTCTACCTACTAAAGGAAAATAGCCTTTAGGAAAGCGAGAAATTGCTGACTCCTTCCCTATATTCCTCCAATCTATAGATAGATATTTCGGGAGTCAGTGGACTCAGTCTCTCTTCTTGCTCACAAGCACACATAGCCTGATTGCCCAGGATGTTACTTGCACTGCAATGACATTATGTTCAGCAACTGTTGAGCTGCTTAATATTACAGGAACCACATCCCCCTCTGCAAGCAAGTAGAATACTGGATCCATGACTGCAGCTGTTATGGGTCCTGTCAGGGGAAAAGGGTGATATTTGGGCTCTCCTTTTATGTTTGTAGATTACTTTCTTGGAGCCTGGTATTATCCTCTTAACTTAGACAGTTTTGGATGGGTTTGAAAAACTTGTTTGGAATGGTGTCATTGGGTTGGGAATTAGGAAAACATATTTTAGGATATAAGCTCCCTCGGTGGAGGTTGTAAATTCAAGCAATCATTCATTTTCTTTATTCCTTTATTTAATTCTCACTCACCACCTTATTCCACAGGTGTTTACTGAGTACTTTCTCTGTGCCATGCAGTGTGCTAGGTTGTAGGAGTGCAGAGCTCAAACTGGGATACCAGGAACCTTAGGTTGGGCCTTTGAGCTTACACTTAATAAAGGGACAGTAAATCTGATTTATAATTGAATCTATCATAAAGAGTTTACTTTTCACAGGACCAACATGTGGGTACCCTCCTCCCACAGGCCACCCCTTACCTGGGTCTTGGCTACAGTGTCATCTCTGCCCCAGTCTGGAAGCAGTTTGCCAGCCACTGTGTCTTCAGCATATTCAAATGATGAGCACATCTGAGGCCTCAGCTCTGCTTCACTCTGCTTTTGGAAACTGGTTTTTCCTGAGAGGAAAATATATATTAAATCACAAGTCAGAGAGGAAAATATGTATTAAATCACAAGTCGGCTACCAACCTTTTACAGCTTTACAGAGGTAGGTAGGGAGATATTCTGAAATCATAAAAAGGTTTGAATACAGTTCAGGTTGAGTTTCCTGCAAATCTGTCCCCTGTAGTCTGTGCTATCTAAAATATCTACCTGATCATGTACACATATTTCTAAAAGAAACCACTTTAGCGATCCTGTTTTCTACAAGAGGTTGAGAATATTCAGGTTAGAAAAGATTCAGAAGGCAGATCATTTGTGAAATGTTGAGGTTATTCCTCAAACAACAAATAGGTTTTGGAGACTATCTCGGAGCCCTCACTATGTGAATAGGTACTGTCATAGTTCCAAAGGAAAGATTCAAATTTTCAGGCTTTTGCAAGCTGATGAGCAGGTAATGCTTATTTTCTTACAAAATCTGTTAAGATCCTTTTCAATAATGTATATGGGAGGCTTTACTCCGAGGTCCTTAAAGATCTTTCTGGGCAGCACTTCTCAAGCTTTAGTGGGTTCAACATGCATACACACACCACTAGTGCTTCTGCTAATTGCAAGTTCTGATTGAGAAGGTGTGGGGTCTGAGCATCAACTTTGCTGACACATTCCCTGGTGATACTCACGATGCTGGTCCATGGACTGCACTTGGAGTAGTAAGGGTGGAGTTAGCAGACAGTGATTAAAGGACGCTTCTCCTTACACATAATAGGACATAAACCTGCAGAATGTATTCCTTTATCATGCTATAGAGAAGATTTGCTATCATTATTCTCCAGCCTCAACAATTACCAACAGGACATGCTGTGACATCCTCTCCACACCATTTTGCTCTTAATGAGAAGTAAACAGACTGTGTTTTTATCAGTCCTGAGAGACTGATAGGATGACTTCCATTTTTAAGATGGGATAAGAGAAAAATCCAGTCAAATGTATGTTAAACAGGAATGACTGTTGAAAATAGGCTTAATTTCATTTTCTTTTTGTTCCAGATACTTCTAATCTCTAGTTTTCATATGAATAACAAGTGGTCACTGAGGAGAGAGAAACTCTGGATAAATTTTGCTGCCTCTGGACTACAGATACTGTGTGGTGGTGGGACATTTAAGGATGGGTGACCCAAAAATGTCTTGCCAGCTCACCTGGCTCTCTACCATATACTACTTTTTTAAAAAACAACTCTTCATCACAGTTTAACTAAGACACAAACCTTAGAAATCTAGTGCAGTGAATACTACAGCAATATCAGAACAATCTCTGTTCCACCCCCTTCTCCTGAATCAATTCAAGGCTTGTGGTTTCTATTCAATTTGTTATAATGACAGTGTTTAATCACGGAGTCTACTCTGCAGCCGCTGCTGAATTGAGGTCACACATGTGACTATTCAGGCATGGAGCATATAATCTATAACTAAGATTTCACCCCTGAGTCTCTGGGGGCAGTGTCATTAATTAACAATGCACTTGTTTCTAAAATAATGTGCATTACAGCCTTTAAAAGCGGACTGGGGGTTTGGAATGAGCAGGAGTCAGCGGTCAAACATCTGTGGCAGCTGGTATTATGGGACGGAAGAAGAACTCCACTATGGGAGTAGCCTGATGCATTCATTTAGAGATACTTAATTAAAAGTCTTTTTTTCTAATTTCTCAGAAACCTGTAGTATAATCTCCGCTTGCAGCTCCTAATTATCTAATTGTAAATGAAAGTGTTCCATTCAGAGCTGTAGTTTATGTACTTACGCATGTTGTCAGAGCAACAGAAGCCACACATGTTAAAAATTATTTAGTGTCATTCCAGTCTGCAGTAAATATTTTTAATCTTGAGGGAACCATGAAAAACTTTGACCCTTGGCCTGACTTTGTCTTTAATCACAGAAGCTTGTTTCAATTGACTGCACTGAAGGATAGTAGGCCTCAATGGGAAGGCTTGGTGTTTCTTTCCAGTAGTGCACAATCTACTGCTGATCCATCAGACTAAGATTTATGGTTCAACATGTAAACATACGCAAACAGGATAGGAATGTGTCAGAAGACATAGGGCTTCTAGTTAGAGGGAAAATGACATTTTAGTCATATTATATCTTGGGTATAGACTGGTAAAACTTACATTCAAAGCTTTATAGGATAAAATCTCATGAATGTATGTATTTTTTTTCCCATAATCATTTTTTTTTTGGTACTGGGGCTTGAACTCACGGTCTCACACTTACTTGCCAGGCAGGTGCTTTTCCCATATAGCCATATAACAGTGCTTACACATTTGCTGCCTTTTATGTGAGTGCACTCCTTAAGGTAACAAACACTATGAGTTAATGATTCTTTACATATACTGTTTTAGTTTTTGGTGAAGACATGCATGGATGTTCAAAAATCATTGACTTGTACTTTCTCTAGTGGAAAATCTTCCATTTTTGTCCAAATGGACTGGAGAAAAAAATGGTACTTGAGAAGAAGCCACTAGCATTTTACCTGAAGAGGCTGCCTTGGGAAGGTGACTCTGAGGAGGTCGTGTCCCTCTGGCCATCATGATGGGGTCAGATGTGGAATGAACAATGGCCATCTCTGTAGCAAGCTGGCTGTCTGTGAAGGAAGGCACTTCTCGTTCAAGGGTTTGGGCTCTGATGGAGCAGGCTGTGGAAGGGGCTTGCTGGAGAGGCAGGAGGGGCTCGGTGTCCTCTGAGGAGTCTGGCTGGCACAAGTACCGTGCTGTCACACGATTTCCTGAGTCTGGGAGTGGGAAGGTCCCGATGCCACTGTCCAGCGTTCTCATTTGGCAGTTTGATTCTGAGACATAAACAGAGGGGATTAGAGAAGGCTCACCAAAAAGGATTAAAAGATTGTTGATATTTGGTAATGATCTGAGGAAAGGGGATATTTACAAAGAAGAATTTTTAAGAAAAAGAATAATAAACATTTGGAAATAGTGTGGTGAATTTCCAGTAAGGTGCATGAAACAGACCTTCAATGGAATATAAAATTAACCCCTTCCAAACGAAAGTGAGAACAGCCCGTTACAGGCAGCAATAGTCAGATACAAATATTCCATAGATAATTCAGTAGAGTTATAATAGAAAGGGAGCAGTCATCAGAGACCAATAATTATTTTTGATTATTCTTATTTCAACCTGGAAATCATGTGATTTAAGTTAGGTGAAATTTATTAACTGAAATAAAATGGGTAATGCGCATGCATAACAAACTGAAGTAATGTCCTAACAAAGGCAACTGTGTATCTCCTGTATGAATTACCACCTGTGCAGTTAACTCAATCTCTGCCTCTCAATTGACTGTGAGGACAAATAATTCATCACATCACTTAGCATGTGAACTTTGTTCAACCCCACTGCCACTTGAAGTCTTACTGAAAAGATGCCAGAGCCACTTTCAGACTTTGTCACCTATGCAATGATAAAACTTATCAGTACCATTTATATTTATTATTAATTCTAGGGATCCTATTATTCTGTAGGACAAATTGCATATATTTTTACCATGTTTGTGACATATTTATCTTTGTTACTTTTCTTGTTGCTGGGACAAAATGCCTGATGCCCAAGGAGGAAAGGTTTATTTAGCTCACAGTTTGTAGAGGTTTCAGTCCATAATCAGTTAGCTCCAAGGCAAGGGTAGCTTTGCAGGGGAGAAACGGTTCATGGTGCATAGAAACAGCAAAGCAACAAGGGATCTTAGTAGAGTATTTCTGCTCCTTTTATTTTATCCAGACTATTTAGGGCGAGTAGCATTAATACCCTTAATCTTAGCACCTGCATTCCACACTCTAGATCCAGTCCCACCTATAAAGTTTTGAGGGCACATCTAAACATAAGCCATAAACAATACTGCTAATTATGTTTCCTCTTATAATTTTCATATAGAAAAATTATTTTTATTTTTAATTTCTGCAATGGTGATGTGACTTTTCCAAGCCAATGTGTCAGCTTTCAACATCTCATTGTCTCTATTCATACAAAACATTTTGGAATGAAACGTCCTTATCTGCATTTTTAAAAAGTCTAGTACTGGGTAAGACATAACTCTGTACAGTGGGAAATATAGTTACAGTATAAGCTTTATATCAAAAGCCCAACAGCTACCATTTTTTTGGTGCTTTATAGAACAGTGCTTATGACGTGGTCTTTGCCAACCACAGATAGTGTGATTCTTCATACAAGAGCTTAAACCTCTTGGGATCTTAGGTTCCTTACAGGGTTGCTATGTGTATATGTTCAGCACCAAATCCCTAGAATTAAGAATGACATCTAGCACAGTATGAGACAGCTAAAGGAATGAAATAATAAACGACAATATATACAAATGCTAGTCTGTTTATGAACATTAGTAGATATCTGATAGCTAACTAGTACTTTTCATACACAACCTCATTTGATGTTGAGCAAACATCAGCATCATTTGCATGCCTTCCCCAATATCTCTTTGGTATAAGTCAGTATAAAATTCTGGGAATTTCCTAAAACCAAAGTAAAAACAATGGAGTTTTTTGTTTTTGTTTTTTGTTTTTAAGGTTCTAGGTATTTGGTGTTTGGTTTTGGAACCACTGGGAAGATGAAGTTTCCACTAAAGGAGAGGTTTCAATCTTGACAGTGGAACTGAATTGGACCATGATGCCTCCCATGGTTTAACTAAGCCTTTTTCTATGCTTCTGGGTCTCAGGGTTTGGTCATGGATTGAAGGATCCTCAGCTCAGAAACACGTGGTCTGAAAGATGAGTTCCTTTTCCAGGATCACAATTCCTGAGGTTTGGCCTCATTCATTTTTGTTTTATTTTCAATGAGCCTTACAGGCTATTCATTATTTTCTTTACTCATTTTCTCCAATTACAGAAAACTTTACTGTTATAAAATGACTTTTTTTGACATATGAACAGCTGCTTACATGGGAAAGCATTGCCAGAAGAGTGAAGTGGAGTGCAGAGACCCTGCCATCTGCATTTCTCTGCCTTTTTCTATTTTAATCTAGGTAGACAACTGTTAAGGTTTAGCATGCCCATGTACTATATTTGGAGCAATTGCTAAAGTCTGAATGTTTGAGACACATAGGAGTAAACAGATAATTATGAAAACTGACCTAGTCCTTGGGTGTGGAAATTAAAGTCTAATAGGATGTGAGATGTGTTGAAAGCTATGTATCTCAGATTGCCTGCCAGAATAATTTACTCCCAATATTTTGGAGCTCATTGTTTTCTTCATATTGTCTCTTCATCTTCAAAATGCAATGAAGTAAAAACTATTACTGTCATTCATAAAAGACTCAGGGTTCAAAAGGTAAAGAAATTTGCTTAAGGCCATATGTTATTAAGAACCTGGACTCAATACTTGATTCTTGATATTCTCTCTGTCTCTGTCTCTGTCTCTGTCTCTCTCTCTCTCTCTCTCTTTCTGTGATACTGGTAACTGAACACAGGACTTCACACTGAGCTACATCCTTGGACTTGAATTTAGACTTGCTTGATTACAAAGACTGCTCTTAACCACCAAGCTATCCAGATTCCCCGAGCACAGTAAGATGAACTCAGAGCATAAGCACTGAGGCAGCCGTGTGAGAAACCACCTGTTCCTAGGCACAGTACCAGCAGCTCTGTTACTTCTGTTGGCCTGGAATTCTGGCTTGGGTCTCCATTCTGAAGCTGGAACCTATTGCTAGTGTGCCCCACATCTACTCAGTTGCCTGCTGTGTAGGATGCCGACACAACCTTATCGCTATAGTTCCTGAAAACTGAAAGTGCCTCATAAGTATAAGTAACACCTATGCTGTTCAACCTCTTGGACTGGATCCTTATACTTTCATGCCATGTTTATTGTGCTTCCCTGCTTGTATGGGCACTACTTCTGAGGCAAAGTTTCCTGGTTATATCTTTCTCCTCTACATATTTTATGGCTTGGAGACCTAATCCAGCCTTCAAGTGAAGATTCAGAAGGCAAAGGGATAATCCTTTTTTAGTGACCTGAGTAGAGGTTCCACCCCTGAAGCCACAGGTGTTTGCTTGTCCTCTAAAATGAGTCTCTGAGGCATAGGGACAGAAGGGACCTCTGCAGAAGGTTAAAAGATCCAGGTGCTTTTCACTGGTAGAAAGTACAGCCTCTGTGTGGCTATGAGCACCAAACAGTATCCAAGGAGCTTTGTGGTTTGAAACTAAAAGGTTGTGGTTTTGACATCTATCTTTGTGTAGGCAGCATCATGCCTCCTAGTACAGGTTGCTGTGCCTGCCCAAATTCCCCTATTAGATCCCAAGACCATGCCCTTAGCAACAAGCCTATAATCTCAAAACATCAAGGACTGACCCTCAGTGTGGTGGAGACAGGGCATCTACTCCATAAAATAGGACCACAGGACCACACCCCCAGATTAGGCAGTGACCCATCTGTGGCCCTCATTCCTTGTAGTGGCTTTTTATTTCCTCCTTCTGCAAATAAAGAAGTACTTCCACTTTGCCCTGGTCTTCTCTGGCTGCTCTTCTTTCTATGTCAGAGAGAGAGACAGAGAAGCCTGGCAAAGGGGGTAGCTAGGAACCCCTAGATCCCAGATCTACCAGACATAACAGGGGCAACTGCAGGGAATACTATAGAAGAGAGATTTGGGGTAGAAAAAGTAGCAAAGAAAGCCTGAGTCTGGTGCTTATTGTTTCTGACACCTGTCCCCTTACATTATTTTCTTTTTCCATTAATACAAAATATTGCCATCCAAGAATCTATAAAATAGAACTTTTAGAATTTCTGAGTTTTCTGATAATCTTAAAATTGTGTGCACTGACATTAAGCTCAGAAACCACCTATTAAGGTCATTTTTTATTTCAAAGAATTCCAAGTACCAAATGTAAAGAATGTGGGGACTCATTTATAAGTACCTATTAAATGAGATGTGGACATTCAGGTCTCAGATATATGCCAAGTTTCACCCTCCAGCAAATTTCTTCAGAATGCATACACCTTGGGAAATAGGAGTTTATATCAAAAATGCTGACCTGGCCTTTATGTAGTTTCTTTAAAGCACTATTAGTTTCTTGCAGTACATAAAAATATTGTAGCCTGAAAAAGTGTTGGATACTAAACTTGTGAGTCCAATTTTTCTTCCCAGAGAATTATAAGAACTCACAAAATAATTAAATGGCTGTAGCAAGAACAAAGTTCAAAGGGCCAACCTGCCTTGAATCTTGAATGAGATGACTTGCTCTTGCTCGACAAGCACTGAGCTCACATTTGAGGCTGTGAGTTCAGAGCTTAACGGGCCCTTTAATAGTAAGTTCAGGGATTGGGTCACTTGAGTATCAGCAGACTTCTTCCTCCAAAGTCACCAATTGCATCTTTGACCTTGGCCACCCATCTCACTATTCCAATTGTTCTATTTGCCTTCTGAGAGTCTCTCTAGGTAGGTTCTCATGCTTATCACCATCAATGCTTTCCAGATATTCCATTAAGTGACTTGAGGCATTGCATCTCAGTTCTCTTAAAGTCATGCCACACATAGAAAATATATAGCTTACTGATAAAAATGCCAGCTCCTAGGACCACTAGCCATGTGAGGGCTCTTCATCTTAGCAAGCCCAGGACCTAAGAAGGGCACATTATCAGTAGAATAAGGAGTCTTTTACTTACATAATGGACTTGGGAAGTTCTTTTACCAATACCCTGAATACGTAACTTTGAAAATATATGGCATAAAAGAAGATAGATTCATTTTAGCCTGTGCAGTAGATATAAGACTTTCTGTAAAGCTTTCCTTTATTGAGAAGAATGTTAAGATAGCACAGAGAAAGGATACTCTGTAGT